ATATAGCACAAATCCTAAGAGCGGATCTTTGGATCGATTGGCCTCTTTAATATCACATTAGGACGAGTAATAACCTCCAAAAATTACTGTTTTTATTATATCGATCGTTATCTTCATTCTACGACCTTCCAAGTATCGTTCTTCTATCTTGAGGAAAAACGCCGAGAGAGCATTTGGACGTCACCAAATTTTTGCTTCATTAATATTGACGCAGCCAAAGTTCGAAACCACGCATCATTGCCGTGTTTCAAAGTGTTCGCTCCTGCTACTTGTTTTTAGGAGAAATAACCCGATTTTATAGCCTAAATTTTATTTTATACAGAATATTCTGCTAACAGAGCAGAAAAATTATCTCGGAAAAAGTAAAGTATGAGAGGAAGTCTGCAACGTCGCAAACCGAGATACGTGGTTTCGCCCTTTGATCATCGATACAAAAGAGCCAGGCAAAATGAGCTTTGAAGAGGAAACTTAGATTACTCAGTACATCTGTCGATTCAGTATAGTGATTCGTAAGAATTGCAAAAAGAATGTAATTATTTCTATTTAACAGTGCTCCTCATACTGCTCCACCTGGCTGATTATTGAAATTGACAGAGAAAGCTATAGACAAAGAAGACCTTGGGGAATTGGAGCGATCCGATTGGTTGAAACGGGTGTTTGCCGTAAATACTTTAGACTAGGGCAGTAAATGTGGGACTAGCTATTGGATATCTCGGGTTGGCGTTAGTTAGTTATTACTTACCTCCTTTGACTATTGAAGCCACCCGCTACCACCAATAGGATCGATCCACCCTCCCTCCATCATCTTCATCTATCGCCTCGTATATTAATTTCAATAATAAGCAGGGAGGGATAACGAGAGACCAAACCGCATTCACTCTCTTACGTATGCAACACTCACATCTTTTGAAAAGGAGGCCTCTGTTCTTATGAGCTTTTTGAAAGGCTGTCTCATTTCCTATGGAAAACTTATCTCAAAATCAAGTTCATCGTAAAAATATACGTCCGGATACCATGTTTCATCAAAATGAATTGGGAAGGAACCGAGCTATCACTATTTATTGGATATAGTTCCTTTTAATATGATTCAAGATCCCTGTCTGCGTATTAGATTAAAGGACACATGCAAAGATCCGTTTAATCGGATTGTAAGTTGTCTTTGCCGCCAATTTTACGATAGCGTATCAACGACGATTACGATTTTTCAGGTGGTATCCCTAAGGGCAGGGTCGGATTAAGGGGGTTGCCACATGGGCCGCAACCCATGGCGGCAAATCTAAGGGGCGGCAAACATTTGCAGTTTGTTAAAGTGTAGGTATAAAAAAAATCGGATTTATAAAAACAAAATTACAAACGAGAAAAGGCGACAAAATCTCTCATTTCCTAAGAGTATAGTAATTTCTAATTTTGTCGTCTCTTAGTGATACAGGAGACAGCACCCTCAATAAGTCGAGTCACGAGTAAATCAAACACGCAATTTGGCCTAGAACGGCGCGACTTAGAGAGAAATGATAACGAGGACTTGAAATGAAAAGGAGAAGCCCTCGGCGCGGCGATCGGCATGTAACACATATTAGCGCCTACTAGACCGCACGAATACTTCACGCATTGCATCAAACACAGTGCGGTCATTGCGGTCAGCGTAAAACGGATAGCGCCTAAAAGAATGCATGAATACTTCACGCATTGCGTTAAACACAGTGCGGTCAGCGTGAAACGCATAGCGCCTACAAGACTGCGTGAATACTTCACGCGTTGCGTCCAACACGGTGCGGTCTGCGCGGCGCGGCGGCGGAAGTTAAAATCATTGAACCACATTTATGTTTGTTCTTTCATAATTTTTTCGTTCATTTCTCATGAATGGAAGGCCTTGTCAACACAGAGATAGGTTTACGGAACTTAACTTTCGCGCGAAGTCTCGGGAACTTTTGCTAGTAGTGTTGACAGGTCTTCCTGGTCGGTCAATCTTAAACAACTCTATAAGTTCACGGTGAAAATACTGCATGAACCAACAAGAACATCCGACAAATGTTTCCCGTTCTGGAATTTGCGGAACTCTTCCCCAAATCCTTTCTTCGCGAGACAATAACTGAAACTATAATTTTAAGAAAGGAATCTCGGTTGGCGTGATAGAAATTTTGTTCTTTCAATTTTTTTTTAACGGATTCTACATATTCTAGGCTGCGATTCAAGACAGAGCTTTTTAAAATCTGACCATTATTAAATAATTTATGTAACGTTTCGTGACAAACAGAGTGATGCAACCATTGTGTGTGTTACGCTATTTTACATAACTTACATAGTGAAGATAGGGACTGCCGACTTAATCCCCTCAAAGTTTCCTTAGCATGTTTGAGCTTTCCAGTTGTCTACATCCACTGACACAAAAATTCCTGACGTTCTAAATCGAAAGGGATTTTTGTGTCCAACGTATTCATTAGACGCCATTGATCAAAACGTAAGCTAACATCCGCGTGGCTGCCTAATGAGAGTAGACGCTTCAATACGTATTGGTTACGAGATAGCTAGGAGGCTCTCCGCCAGACACCCGGAAAACGTAACTAGAATCGACATTTTCCTCCGCATATTTTCAATTAATTGTTTCTGTCGGTACCTTGTACTTGCAAATTAACATCAATGAGTGTTCCAGACAACACGTGACTCCATGAATGAATCTCCACGGTGCACTCACGAGAGTTCGTTGTGAAGAGCGATGGAAACTTGACGATACAGGTTGTTATCGATTGATTGAAGGTTGGCACTGCGCTGCGAGCCGCGGGCTTCTTATCAATGGTAAATCCCAAAACTACAGCGGGCTGATTAATGAAATTGATAGACAAAGCGATGGACAAAGAAGACAAAGGGAAGATGGAGCAATTATGCCTATTGGTAAAGACCGGAGATTATTATTGACTAAAGGGGAAATTTTGGGCTAACTATAGAATCTCTAGTGAGATGCCGTCACTTAGTCTGATACTTTGCCGTGGTAGGGAAAAGCGTCGTAGAAGCCTTCAAACGTTGCTAAATTCAATATGGTAAAATGCAATTTTCAGGGAAATCTGTGAATATTTTTTCTCCAATTTTTCAAAGAAGTTTACTCGTAATCAGATCTAAATTATCCGAAAAGTTCAAAAGAAAATATTCATAACTCTCTTTAAAAGTGATTATTTTATCGGAGGAAATTTGGCAACTCTCAAATGTTCATACGCCGTTTACTCACAGCACAACAGCCCTTATTACCTCCTTTGTTTATTACAACCAACCCGCTTCCACCGACAGGATTGCTCTCCTTTTTTTCCTTTTTCGTCTATGGCTTTGTCGATCAATTTCAGTAATCAGCCCGCAGATTTCAATAGGGTCATAGCCAAGGTACGAATACTGAAGCACCCTGTGGCATGATCTCTCTTCTAAGTTTTAAGTGGTAAACGATTTATACGATGAAAAGGTAATATATATACTATATAGGGAAAGGTAATAAATAAACTTTCAAAAAAATAAAAATTGTTTACAATATTTGCATTGCGTAAATCGTCTTGCCCAAGAAAAAGATTGTAATCATACTTCAACGTTGTAAAATTTTCTCTTCAACATTAATTTTGCTTTTAAACTTCGGCGCTTAAACCGAATTTTCATTTGTTTACTCGTAAAAAAAATGCAGAATGATAGACAAAAATGTTCAAATTTTTGTGAGAGAGTGCAAATTGAGCAAATTTTACAACATCAAAATGGAGGTACATTTTCTCATCTGGAATACGTCGTAATACCGAAAATACAAAGGAAATGAATTTCTACGATTTTCGTTGATTAGTGTTAGAAATACAGTTATTACCTTGTTTATGAGTTGATTTTGAACTTTTCGCTGTGTAAGTCATTCTTTTACATAAAATTTTGAGGAGGAAATTTACGGAGTGGTGCGCTCATACAAGTGGTCATCGATACTTTTTTCCTATACATTGTGCAACATTCCCAAATTTTCGACACACCTCAAGCCATAGCAATTACATCGATGAAAGTTCGTTGTTAATTATTATTCGAACCAAAAATTGCGATTTATGGTGATGAAATTGATATCTCCTGTATGTCCATTTTCGGCTACATTACTTGAAATAAAGCGCCAAGTTCTGCGATAAACATTACGATGTAATCGCAATAAAACGGTGATATTATCCTTATAAAAAAATCGCCGTATAAAGTCTGGTAAAAATTGTTCAAGTATTGATGATGCTGCAATTGTATACCAATTAAGAAGGAATAATTTGAAATATGCGGAAACATTTTAAGATCTTCAAACTGGAGAATGGAGATACATATGTAGTTTTGGAGTTTTACCATTGAAATTTCAGACTCAGCATAGCTATCTCCCAACGTACTGAAGGAGTGAGACGCTAGTTTCAGCCGGTAGTAGCCAGCAGTAGACGATATCTATCTAATTGAGTGGAGGTATTGCCAGAAAAAAAATCTCCAATCGTAAGTGTTGAGTTGCGCAAAAAAAATTGAGCATTTTGCATGGTTTTAATTGGAGCAAAGTGCTGAATTCTCAGCACAATCTTGCAACAATACTTCCAAGTGAGGGTCAACTAGAAAGCCCAGCATTTCGTAATCTTTGTTAAATTCCGTTACTGGTAAAAAAAAGGTTGAAGGTAAGGGAGATGAAGGGATATGCGTTAATTAAGTGGTCGATGCTATTCGTTAAAGTTGTGTTATTTTTCCGTGAACTGATTTGTTATTTGTTCCACTCCTTTGTCGGGCAGTGTGTGATGGTAGAGAGCTTTTGCTTTGTGGATGGGGCTGTCAATTATTATATAATCACCGTGAATGATTAGTAAAAAATATGAACTTGCAAGTTCTCATAAGAAAAGAAACAATCGTGTTCTGGAGGTAAAAAATGTGTTGTGTGTGCGACCACATGACTATTACAATAGATATCTCTTCCAAAATTTTGCGAAAATATTTCAGAGGTTAAGAGAGAAAGAGGCTCAATAGCAAACGTTGTCGACAAATTTGACAAATTATATTTTCATTAATTTACAGGTGAATATTTTACAGAAAAAATGTTAGGAAATTTCGTCAAAAACATAAGATAATTTAGAGGGAAAATGTTACCTCTTTATGAGTAAAAAAAATGATTTTTAAAAGAACTTTGCATAACGCAACGCACTTTGTCGTTTCCCAAACGAAGGAACGTAGCTCTATTTCAAGGCTGCAAAATCTCAAATTTCACTGATTTCTGACAACAAATCATGGAAAAATCTGTGAAACTTGCAATGAAAATGTTCAGGCAAAAATAAAAATTGTGAAAGGGAATTTGGCAACGTTGAAATGCAGTTACTTTCGTTCGTCCAGGAAACAACGAAGTAAGTCGCTATGGCTGGGGCACTTGTTACATAGTTTTCATTGATGATATAGTGGCTCCATTTCTCGAGGTGTGAAATACAAGTTTCATGCAATGTATGTGTTGACTTTTGGCACCGAGTGCCTTTGGTACATTAGAAATTGCTTTACAACATCAGTTCTTAAAAACGTATCATAGAGACGCTATTCTGAAAATTGGCAACACTGCTTTTCTTCCTCTTAACTATAGGTATGTATAACGATCGATTTTTTGTGAGGAATTTATATTTCGATGTTTTAATTGATATTTTTAGTTTATTTAAATGGAGGAAAAACAATGTTGCCAGTTTGCAAACTCGCCACTGGTAGAGACGCAAAGGGATGATGCGCGAGATTCAAAGTGTTGCTGTGGAAAGATTCTTTCGGTCACTTTCCGCCAGAGGGATCTATACATGCGGCAGCGGCCCCGAGGGCGATCCACTGAAATCTGCCCATTTTGTCAGGTCCATCGTTGGAATGATACCACTCTTGCAAGGCACTCTTGGATTTCTGAAAAATTGGTAAATACAAGAAAATTAAAATAGGCATCATTGTAATGGAAAAAGAGCCTGTTGAAAAAGAATCCCTCCTTTAGGAACTCAGGAATTTCGATAAAATGTGGCTTAAACGAAAAAAATGTGCGTCTTAGTTCAAACATTTGAAAACAGCGGAATCACCTTGAGAATAATACCAGCCAGTAATTGAAAAATTATGGATGCTGAAAAACTATGGACTTTGTTGACTTTGCTATTCAGCTAACCGTGGTCCTAAAGAGCCTGTCAAAATAAAAGGAGTTTTTTGTGCCCATTATAGGGAGAATTCAGGGATTTTGTTCAAATGTGGCCTGAACGATACCTTTCAAAGAGAAAGTTTGCCAGTGAAAGTTTTAGCTTGAGTTCAAAATTCGTTTTGGCAATGTAGCGTTGCAAAGTTTCATCATTTACCATTCAGAAGTACTAATATTTTGAGGATCCTCGGTTAAAGAAGCAACTTAACTCGATTCTGCTTTATTTTCTAGTTATTTTTCGACCGAGGAACTTAAATACTAGCATTTTTTAAAGGTAAAAAGTGTAAATTTTGCAACGCTTTATCGCCTAAACGAGTTTTGAACTCAAGCTAAAACTTCACTGGCGGATTACCTTTTTTAAGGTATCGCTTGGGTCATATTTAAACAAAATCCCTGAATTCTCCCAGAAAGGCACAAAAAGGTCCTTTTTTTGACAGAATTTTTAAAGTTGAGATTAGCTAATGTCAGCAGCAAAGTCAAGAAGCACGTATCAAAGTTTCAACAAAGTTTATATTTTGTCAAGGACTGGCAGGTATCATTCTTGAGATGATTCCGATGTGTTCAAACGTTTGAAGTGAGTCACTCCAACTGTCCATTATAATCTAATGGTGTTTTATCATCTTCATCTTGAGATTTTTCCCGTTGCATGGAAATTCCTCTGAGTTCCCAGACTATTTATTAAATTTTTGAAATCGGGCTCGTAGGTACAGCCTGTAGACTGTAAAATCTAACATCGTGCCAATTTTGAGGAGCTCAGTGAGACATCTCACCGGGAATCCCATTTAGTCAAAGCGTGTGCTCCTCAAATAATGGGATATTGAGGAGCAAGGGGCAGAGAGAAAAAAAAAAAAAAAAAAATAAGGAAAATTCCCGAGAAAAGAAACCTGCGCCGCTCATTAGGTGGTTGCTAGCCTAATTGAAACCTATCAGATTATAAACTGATTAGCGGGTTAAAATAAACTATTATCAGCCGACTGGGTGCTATCAAACCAGAGAACGGCCGTCCAAATGGCGTAGACACCAATCGATCGACACGTACATCCGTACTATTTTATTTTTAACTCATAACGTTCGGTGATGAATCAGAGGTCATAAAGACGAAATCGGAAGGACGAAGTCGAACGCGTAGTCGCCTCATGAGCGATTGATTGAATCCTCTGTGAGGACGTTCAAGGTGGTCCATAGAACTGCCCTACGGAAAAGCACAGTGCCAATGAGATCATACAAATCGAATCGAAGACAGTTTTAAACTCTCTTTTGAGATAGCATCTCCTCTCCTCTCTTATCAACAATGGAGAAGATGTTGCATGTGTGAGGAATTTGCGATTTGACTATTGATTCTTACGTAATACTTCGCGAGAAACTCGATGGTGCCACAGGTTTTCTCTGAAATCAACTCCCAAGCTCAAAAAAAGCTCTCAAGTTAAGGTCAAAATGGAGGGGATATCCCACGCTATCCTGAGAGTCCACCTCTACATCAAGACAAACTCTCTATGCGAAGATAGGGAGCAAATACATTAGCAAGGTTGCCATGTTTTCAGTTTTAGAGTCCCCAAATAAAGTGGCAGCCTTGTCAATGTATTTGCTCCCTATCTTTGCATAAGGAGTTTGTCTCGATGTAGAGGTGGACTCTCAGGATAGCGTGGGATATCCCCTCCATTTTGACCTCAACTTGAGAGCTTTTTTTGAGCTTGGGAGTTGATTTCAGAGAAAACCAGTGGCACCATTGTGTTTCTTGCAAACTTTCACAGATGAATCAACAGTTAAATTGCAAATTTCTCACACATGCAACATCTCCGTTGGAACTCTGAAAAAAGATTTAGTAAGCTATTTGACTCCGCGTTTTTTCCCGTTTTTTTGCATAGGTAAGGCTCTTGGAGGTATACTCAAAATAATAATCCAATCCTATTTTCATCCGTTTCAAGTCCATGTTACTATGTTCCTTTTCACTGATAATGCATGAAAGTTGACAACACTGTTTTTTCTCCATTTCATACGTGTAAAACAATCGATTCTTGATAAGGCAGCTTGCCTCGCCTAAAATCGATATTTTCAATGGATTTAAATGGAGGAAAACAGTATCGCCAACTTGCAAAATTGCCACTGCTATACGCTGCACAAAAAAATAATTCATACTTACATTTCGTGATCGGGAAGCACCATTGGCCATAGCTGAACGGTATCTATCAAGTCTGTGTTATCGCAAATTATTCGTGCTAGAGTAGCTTTCCGGACTTCTTTAAGTTGATCTGCAGAACATGATATATAATTTTAACACTGCAGTCACTTATTAATATCAACAAACAAAGAAGATTTTTTTATATGTTAGCTGCTCAAGTCGTAGAATAGTGGTAGTCGTAGATGACACAATGAGGTTACCCGGTCAAAGTAGAGAATGTACTTAGCGGAGAAGAATTTTTTCTGATTTTTTAAACGATATTGGCATACGGAAATAGATTTTAAAAATGCATATCCGCAGCTTCCGTGTGAATGCACTTTGACGAGAAAGTCAATATGGCGTCCGAAAATATCCCTCCTGATGCGATCACTTTTTTGACCACGTGATCATTCTGCCGCAGTTCATGGTCCCTGCGATAGTGCATTTATTATTAACGGCTGTAAGGACTATGGATTGCGGCGGATGCACCGCTCTTTCAAAAATGACATTTCGGTGGGAGGAAGTTTGTTCCGTTTAAACTGGTCTGTAAATTTTTCACTGTATAAACTCCGTTTGAATCTTCAAAATGTAAATATAAAAGGTAGAACTACTTCTGTGACCCTTCTTTCGTCTGCTGCTAGTTCCAAGCTGCTGCATGAGCTTATGAGGATACTCAGTGTAAGAGACTTAAACGCACGATAAAGAAAAAAAAAGATACTTGAAAAACGAGACGTCTCAAAGCTGAGGGAGGAGAATAAAGGAGGGAAAAGGAGAAAAAGAGGGAGAGTAAAAAGAAGAAAAATAAGAGGATGAGACATAATGGTTGAAATAAGAAGAAAAAAGGCAGAAAAGGAGTGAAGAAGAGGCGGAAAATGAAGTAAAACCAGAAGCAACTTTTTCGTGCTCTTTTTCTCCCTTCGAAGAAATAAGACAAGAGCAAAAATTTTGAAATAAAGCAACGAGCGGTAAAACTACCAGACCACTTTTCTCGTTGGTAGTGTTTAAAAATCTCCGCTCCCATTTTATTTTTTTGGAAGGAGAACAAATCAATATCGTTCCTTGAATTTTACTCAGCGTTTTCTTTGTTTAGAGAAGCAAAATCACGGAAGTTTTCAAGAATTGATGTTGAGTAGTTTTTCATTTGAAAGATGAAGTGTGACAGGTAGTCTGCAACCTCGCAAACCGAGATACGGGCGGTTTATACTGTGGCGATCAATATTCAATATATATATTTTTCTTCAAAAAAAAAACATAGATAGGAGGAATATTATTGTCGAATGTGCAACATTTTATGCAAATTTCACTTGAACTTACCAGGTGTGAAAGAGGAAGGTTGATTCGGTAGCTCATACCAGAAGCGATCTCCTCTTCTAGCATAACTAAATTGAGTGGCGATTATGCATGCGAAAGTCGGACCCGCCATGCTCCCGGGCAGAGGTTTCTCAGAAACTCCTCCTGACCACAAATCTACATCCACTGGTCCCCTGTAATTGGTAAATCATCATTCAATCAGTTTATTTGCCAATAATGCGTCTGTTGAACACAAGAGATACGGATGACATGTTACGCTGGAACAAGTTATCATGTTGAAAAACAATTCTGTAAAATGCAAGATCATGATGCAAACTGCCTCAGCTGAATACGAGTATAATATCGATAGTGAAATCACCAGACCACGTATCTCGTTTGTGGTGTCTAAAAATCTCCGCTCTTATATTTTAAATTTTTGGAGGAGAACAACTTAATATCATTCCTTGAAGTTTTCACATAATTTTTTTTTCGCACTAAGGAGAAAAAGCACGGAAGTTTTTGAGAATTGACGTAGAGAAATTTTCCGTAAAAAAATTAAAGTATGGCAGGAAGTTTGCAACATCGCAAACCGAGATACGTGGTCTGGTAGTTTCACCATCAATATGTAATAATATGCTTGGATCATGGTGATTTCATCATGTAGGATAACATAGTGGCTACATACCTACTGATATCAAGTTGATATCAAAATTTCACGATCACGATTATATCATATCGATATAATGACAGTATTTGAAATTATTTTTATTCTTGCCACGGTATACTTACTCAATTTGAATTCGACCCTTCTGTTGTTACTATTTGTACATTTTAATGCTCCAGTCATGATTAAATTTTCTATTCATTTGAGTTATTGGTCTTTTTGAACGGCTTGATATGGTACAGCCATGGTTTCATGTTTTGTAACAATGGAATTTTCTATAAAAAATACTTACTGATATATCGTGGTGTATCTGCTGACTGTTGAGTTCGGCATGGCTCCAAACAAGCCGTCAAAAGAGTTTGCTCCTGGTAAACCACAGAATTTCCTAAAAAAATGGGAAGAGCGATATGTTTAGCATTTCTTTTTTTTTCGAATGGACCAAACGAATGAAAGAAATTTAATTTTATCACGAGAATTTCATTAGAAGTGACAACTGATGTTGCGGATTAACAAATTCTTTTTGGGCTCTAATTGAGGGAGCCAGGCCATATTTCAGAGGTGTTCTCGATTGAACTTTTATAATTTATATCCAAATCCCAGAGGTTACAGCGCGCGCGATCCAGAATTTATTAAATGGAGTAACCTCTGAGAATAGTCTACAACACGCTCCATTGATTGAACCATCAGCTATTGTGAATCCAGACCCTGTGACCACCCTTTGGAGATGTCCTCAGTCTGAGTAAACGCACATGAACTAAGCAAATGTAACCGGAGAGAAGGAACCAAATAAGTTAAGCAAATTCTTTCAATTCCTCAGTTCTTTCCAATCAATTTGTTATATAAGTATTAAAATAAAGCAGCAGTTTTGCAAAAAATATGTACTTTAAAGAATATGTAAATGGATTTCTTACCTGAACTCCATGTAGCCGGGAATACCGAAATCTCGTCCTCTTTGGATGTTGAACGATACTAAATCCATTCCAAATCGCTTGCCAGGTTTTTTGAATAAATTGTTTGTCACCTAAAATTAAAGTCATTTTAAATTTACTTGAAAATTACGTTAAAATATGTGACTGCCTGCTGATTATATCTAATTAGGTAGAATATAAAATATAGCAGTTGAAGCGATTTTTTGGGGTCAATTTGAAAATCTGCTCCTTCACAAATTTTTCTTTTTAACATCTTACTCCTATCAATTTATATCGCTGTCATGCCAGTAGTTGAGTTACATGCAAAATACTTTTAACAGTTAAGAAGTTTCACGAGTATTAATTTACGGTATTTACCTCCTGTGTGATTGAATCATCCATGGCCTGAGCTACCTGGTTCATGAGACCCATCAAGTACTCATCAAATACTCCAGCTCTGTACAAATCGAATGGGCGTCTGATCAAATCGGATAGTCTCTTGGATGCTGAAAGTAGACAAACATCAAGATTTCACATTCCCTCCAAATAAAATCACAAGTTCAAAATGCCTTCAAATTAGAAAGATACCTCCCAGCATTATTTATACGTTCGAATAGTTGTATCGTAGTGTTACTGCCACTACCGGGCTTGCCGAGAAAAAATGCCGTTTTGGCAATCAAACTTTTCCAGATTCCCCCTTACAAAATATTAATGTTTGAGAAAAGAATTGAACATATTTCCCTGGAGTTGTTGGAGACGCTAGACTAGTTCGTGAGTAAATATCTCTGAAAATTGCATGACTGCAAACAAAATATTTGGGTTTTTCTACTTTCATCAATAACCTTTGTTGAACGAGATTCCTTACAGTCCACACGATTTCTTTCGAAAAAAAATTGAAGCTGGATCAAAAAGGCTGAAAAGATTAAAGTGAAAAGTGAATTTTTTTACTACATTTTTATTAAAACCAGAGAAATGAGAGAACCTCAATACAAGGTAGTACAATACTTGTATAAATGCTCTAACGGCAAATGACTGCTTTTTGAGCGCCATTAATCACGAAGATTACGTACCAATAAATTTATGTGCTTTACTCCATCGCTCGACTGCGGTTGGTAGAAAAGTGTGGCCGATCCTTAGCGCAGCTGCTGAGAAAGCGTCAATAACGTTTGGGTTGACTTCAGGATCGTATCCGTCCCAATAACCCTGTAATATAAACAAACAAAAAAATTCGAGAATTACAAAACCTTGTGAATTGCCTCCTTCAAAGGAACCGTTTTGGAATTTTCAAAGGATACTTCTTTAAATCGAAGCCCGCAGTGTATTTGATCTCTTTTGTCGACAAAGATAGGATTGGGTTTTGTCGAATAAATACATTCAGGGCTCCTTAAGTGCCACTGGACTGAAACTGTGACTGTTAATCGCTTAATTTACTGCAAGCAACTATTACTGCTTCTGAGCCACTCCCATTGCCTACGAACTTATTGAAGGCGAACTGGTGCGGGAATGAGTTTTTTTTTTTTTTTTTTTTTTATTTGCACAAAACGAATTTAACATTGTACAAGAAAAGAGCTTTTAGATCTACACAATCTTTAAAAAGCTATTTTAACTTTAGCCTTATATATTAGCTAACAACTGTTTTTAACAAAAGAAAAAGACCAACCTAAAATAAACAGGTGGGGAATTTAGAGCCAGATTATTACAAAATAATATGGGTCTATTTTTGAACAAGTTTCAGTATGCTATTCATCTGAAACAGAGTATGTCTCCTTGTACGATCGAGTAAAACAAGGAACCTTAGGAGACATATAATTTAATCTTTTATAAGCGATAACTTTTTTGCTAAAGTGTCTAGCAAATATGAGTTTTTTTGTACGACTTCTGTTAAAGCTTTTACAACTTCCATGAAATTATTAGTTTGTTCCTCTATCATTTTTTCGTGCGGGAATGAGTGTGGAACAGCGTGCATGGATATTTTAATATACTTTTTCAGCTCTTGTCAGTTACCTAAAGAAAAATAATAAATATAAAGTACGTAATATGATGAGCCATGACTTCTTCACTCATAGTGTGTGTATAAGTCAGAGATACATTTTTATATAGGTTCTTCGTACAAGTAGGTATAGAAAAAAAAAAAAAAAAAAAAAAAAAAAAAAAAAAAAAAAAAAGAGTTTATACCTCTTTCTGCAGCACCAGCCCGAATTTTTGCATTACATCTTTCCCCAACAATATCGGCAAGAACTCATTGTAAGTTATGTGCTGGATCTCTGCAATGACAATTCTTCTTGCTTCCTGTTGACACATAATTATAAAATCACATAAAAAATCTTGATAAGTAACAATTTTAAATAAGTTAAGTAATTTCATAGAGCTGGGTCAAAAAGTCAGACTTTCACATTTTAGCTGTAAAGGCTCGTCAGTCACCTAAAGAATAATTTACGATCTATGTGGTCGATACTTGTGGCAATTGAGTGCATAAAGATGCATTATAACAATTTCACGCCTCTTAACACAACAGATTAGAATTTGAATTACTTTTTTCTGGAAACAATGTCTGGAAGCGTTCATAAATCACATAACGCTCCGGAAGGGGGGGGGGCGGACTCTATGAACTTATGTTGCAATGCGTTATAAGGGGGAAGGGTAGTCAGTGTCAGCGTTACGTAACTCTCTCTCTCTCTCTCTTGGTAAGAAACGCACAAAATCTTACGAAAGTTTGCACAATCTTAATCAATAAAATCCAAATATTATCTATTTCAACGTTGTTTGTCAGGCTATCATTAAAATTTCATCCAGCCACATATTAAACATTTTCTCACAATTATTGCACGGAAAAAAAATTGTTAGAGGTTATCCCCTAAAGTGGTTCTCTAATTTGTCTAATGATATGGACATTTTCAATTAATTGTGGTGGTACCGCAACATTTGGGTTAGTAGCCTTATTAATTGAGGGTACTACCACAATTAATTGGAAATGTCTATACCCTCCAACAACCCCTATCTCCTTTTTTCTGTGTGTGATATCCTACAAAGTGAGGGGAATCCGTCAAGCTTTATGTAATTAATAAGGAGGATCGGAGGTTCCGTTGTGTGTTACAAGGGGAGAGAGGTTCAAAAAATGCCGAAAAAGTGGATTACGTAATTATTATGAGTACTCCTTCTTTTGAATTGGGAACTTCAAATCACCTTAACCTCGGTTTGATTCAAATTTTTTGAGTGATACCTACTTTATGTCCCAAAATGATTGGAATTTGAAAAAATGCACTAAATGTATTAAAATACCTGGTAGAGAGTCTCGTCATCCCAGTGAGGGTTGATCTGACCAAGACCGTGCGCTACACGATTGTGCTCCCTGGCCATCAACGTGTGCATGCATGCCAAAACTAGTTGCTCGTTGACACGGATCTCCCCTGAAATCATTATTGCGACCAAGTTTTATCAATAAGTTGGAAAATATTTGTTTAAGATTACCTATACATCGATGGTGTCAGTCCGCAGCTACGTATCTCGGTTGCGGTGTTTGGAAATCTCCACTCCTATTTTATTTAAGGCATATCGACATCGTTCATTGAAGTGTTTTTTTCTGCAGAGAGGAAAAACATGGCAGTTTTTAAGCATTGCCGCTGAGTAGTTTCCCACTTAAAAAATCTGCTCAAAAACAGATCACTTAAAAAAGGTATGAAAGGAAATCTGCAACGCCGCAAACCGTGCGTGGTTTCGGACTTACATCGTCGACACATGGAGATATTGCTTGAGGAAATGTTCTTTTTCATATGGAATGGACACTGGACATTATGTCACTCCTCTGACGTAAAGGCATATCTCGATTTCCGCTTGCGTCCCAGAAAGCATGCATTCATATGTAAAATAGGGCTTACGTGAGAATTGAGATGCGCCCTTACATCAGAAGGGTGACGATTGTAGAAGCTAAACATTCTGATGTCCGTAAAATTTTCAAACTTTAAAATAAAACGCAATTTGCATAAAGAAAATGACTAAAATTGACTCCCAACTATGAAATTAACGTCTTTATTTCGCATTTGTTACGGTATATTTGAAATTCCCGCTCACACGAAAAACCAGAATCTTCTTTGATAAATTTGCGCACTACAACGGTTTGGGCAGGACTCTCAATGGGCTCGCCCTGTGTTTTCACTGTTTACACGAGGTGCAATAGCTGAACCTACGTGCCGATATGGAGGTTGTGTCATATTTTCTTAGTCCAAAGACTGTCACTGTAACGTTCAGTTATAGTATACTTTTTTTCAGTGTGTGCGATTAAATTCAAATATAGTAGGGTTTTCTCACGAGAGGGAAATTCCAATTTATACATGGAAAAATGTTAATATCATTTTTAGGATTCGCTTTCAGTTTTGTTCTCTCGTGGACAAATCGACATGATGGACAAATCGTCCATCGCACCGAAGCACGCAGGTGGTAGGTCTAACTCTAATAACACCGGGTAATTACAAAGATTAGACGCACGGCACCGTGCTGTGCGCGCAATGCGAGAAGTATTCATGCAGTCTTGTAGGCGCTAATATGCGCCTCAAGCCGACCGCACTGTTTGGCGCGATGCGTGAAGTATTCCTCCAGTCTTGCAGGTGGCGTTTAACGCTGGCCGCACTGTGCTATAGACGTTAGTATTATCGCGGCATCAAATTATGGAGCTTTTAAGGCTTATGCTGTGTTTCGACGCCGTATGAGCAATTCAATGTTGCCTGGTTTCTCCCGACAAAAATTGTTTGGAGAAAAGTTCGAAAAGTTTTCTATGTTCGCTTTTTTAGATTGAATGGACCATCACACATAGTACGAATTTAAGCACTCTGGTACTTCTTCACCTCAGTTTTATGCAGAACACGATTCGTGCGATGACAACTACTAAATTCAACTCCTAGGTAAGATATTAACGTTACGGGAAATCCAAATTGCCCCGTCACCCCCCCCCCCCCAAAATGCACCTGTCCGGTGGTCAGTGGCGAGTCTGCAAGTGGGCAACGCTGTTTTTCCTCCATTTAAATCCAATTAAAACATGGATTTTAGGTGAAGCAAGCTGCCTCACCAAGAATCGATTATTTTATATACAATTAAATGGAGGAAAAACAGTGTTGCCAAATTTCAAGAACCACCATCGTCGGAGGTCCATTATTTTCAGTCACGTTTAAATTAATTCTCATGCTCGTAAATGTAAAACAAATGCATGGTTTATTTTTACCTCTATGTCCGAAGCTTTGCGTTATAAAAATACAAAGTGAAAGGGAAATGAGAAGGTTACGTACCTGCATCAAAACAGTATTGAGATTTATTCGTTCTAGTGCATCCCTCGTCCGGTATATCTAATTTTAGCGGCAATAAATCTTTAAGGCCGAATTCTTTGAAGGCAGGATTCATCCGCAGTAAACCGCCAAACCCTGAGCGCAGACTCCTGGAAAACACGTGAAAGAGTGTATGAAGATATCATCTTACACTTTCAGTTTTGAAATCGGCGTTCAGACCGCAGTAGTTCCGTAATACTTTTTTTTTCGATTTACTCATGCCAAGGATATTCTTAACTGCCTCTGAGGGGGGTCCGAGACTTTAAGAACACGAGACTGGTCGTAATGGAAGGTGCGGGATGCGGAGACAAGCTGACGAACGCACGATACAAATATATTCATTTGGGGATTTTCGTTAAAAAATATAGTTTTTTACCCGTCATTGCAGGCATTCAACTTTAAACCAGTTGTAGTGGACTACTCAATTTGACATCCAACAATTATATTTAATGTATTGGGGTGGCGTACTTTGCGATACATCAATTGACCTGCCTTTTATACCTCTGGAAAAGGATCGATTAACAGGGCGTTCGCAACGAACACCTTAATATTCAAATTTTTTAACACAGCCTCAAATGGAGGATATCGACAATCGATCATTCCACGCCTCGCCACATAATTAATGAGATAAGAAAAGCGGTGGCCTACCTGGCAAAATGTTCTGTGACGCCATAAATGGTATTCCCGTCTATGGACCCGGTAAGTGTGTTGAACGGGACCCTTGAGCCTGAAAAATCAGTGTTCAATCAGAAATAATCTAAAATTCTTGGAAGTACATTGGAATGCAAGTAACGCTCTCGCGGATAGCTCAGATCTAAAGTTATGAGCATAGTTAAAGCTGGATAATACTGAACACTCAGTGAAATCGAACTAAATTTTGCAATGAGAAATCACTGTTCCTGGCTCATCCATAAAAATCACTTTTCTACATAGGGAAAATAAAGACACTAATATTTTCTCTAAACAACACTAGAAACAGTGGATACTTATTGAAAAATATAGTCAGACTGATACGTTACCGTCCACGGGTTGATCGTGGTAAACTTAAAATTGATGACAAAGCATAGATGCTATTCCACGAGTATTTTACTTTTTGAAATTATCAGGATACTAAAGAGAGGTTTTATCTAACCTAATCGTTGCAATTAAAATAATCGACGATGAAACAAAACAAAAAATTCGTATCCATTTTGGACGTACAAAATTGTGGCTCTTATTTCATCTTTTTGAGGGAATAATTTCAGATATTTTTGCATGAAATATTTAGGAAATACTTCAGGAAAAAGGCTGAGGTAATTTAAAATTTATAGGCGCAGCATAACAATGATTAGTCGTTCTCATCAAAACCTCAAGAAAAACGAAAAAATGAAAGGGACTTTGCAATGTCCTGAGAAAGAATGGCGTGTTTTCTAAGTTTCACCATCCATACAAAATGTTTATAGTTGGTAATGTTCATGAACATTAATTTCTTTTGTAAAGGTAAAGCGAAGGGCTTAACGGAAAGGACCTCTAACGCGCAAAACGTTGAAATGTTCTTGTTACCTAGTCTACATCCGGGACGGACAGCTGGAAACGCTCGAACAAAATCTTGACACTTCATATTGAATTTTTTGTAAAAATAGTCGTCTTCTGGAATGATGATCTCCATACAATACGGATTCTTCAGATGAGGTGGCCTATGGCAACATTCCTCTGGTTCATTTTTATTAATTGGATCTGAAAAACAGAAATATGATCAAAAAACAGTCTTATTACATCCTTAAAAGACAGTGGTTTGTAGGCGCAAGCGCCTGTCTGATCTACCTATGAACAAAATCAAGATATTGGTCCAAGTGTCGTGGGTATGGACAGTTAGGTTGAATTTTGAGCTTATAACCATACTTTTTTCATTCGTTGGTTCCTTTTCTTAAGACTTTGGGAAAGTAGACAGCATTAAAAATCGATATTTTTGACCCCGAACCAGTCGTTTCGATGTACTGAATAATTTGAGTTTCTCCCTTAAGACTGATTTTGCCTGGCTCCGTTACATCGACGGCTGAAGTTCGATCGACGGCTAAAGTTCGGAACCACGTAACTCCGTTTGTGACTTTGCAGACTCCCTGTCATACTTTCTTTTACCTTTGGAAAACTTGTCAACGTAATTACTTGATAACTCGCTTGATTTTCATTCATTGGCAGTAGAATATTCTGTGTAAATTTCAAGCTTTAAAGTTGGCTTGTTTCTCTTCAAAAAAATAAAAGAGGAACGGAAATTTTGATCCGCCGCGATGAAGATACGTGGTTTCGCACTTTGGTCATGGATATGTGTCATATTCATTTGTGTACAAAGACAATACGGCATTATGTGTGTAATGAATGTTTTAAAACAACAAATATTCCAAAATTTTCTAATATACGCGTCCTAGAATCGAGAAAATACTTTTATTCGGTAGAAGCAATAGAACCTGATACATTTTTTAAACAAATTATTCACAAACACGTTGACTTAATTTTAAAATAAATGAGAGCCATCGTAGCGAAAATCGCTCCGAATGATGTATGTTGGCGAGAACGTGCGAAGCCGGAGCGCCTTCCGTTTTTGGCATATGCAATACGGACAACCTTCAAGCACGTTTAGTTGTACTTGTATCAAGGCGCTAGCTTACAGAGGCACGTCACGCGTGTCATGTCTGCGTGTGAAAAGCGACAATATTTTCCATTATTTTACTCCAGAATTCACTCTGCTTCATGTTGAGACCCAGTGAGTGAGTATGTATATGTATCTGTCAATATTTTTCTCCCACATTTCGTACGTTTCTGCATCTGCAAAACAAAGGAGGTGTACCGATAAGGGCCAAAATTGGCTCACTTCCGGAATCGCGAGGTTTATGATATTTTATTAATTGCAAATTATCACAGGATTCTGTGACAACGGCATGTGGCCCGCTGTTTGCACACCCCTTTTCCATCCGTGTAATTAACCAGGAGAAGAACAAGAGAGGAAAACGGGAAGCAAGGCTAAAATACAAGAAGGAAGAAAAAAAAGAAAAAAAAATCCGATAATTTTTGACTCTATTTTGAGCCAAAACGCCTCGGGTTTTATAATTTTATATTTTAGCCTTGTTTCCGGTTTTCCCCCTTGTTTTCCTCCCATTACAATTGTCCCAGATTGCTTAAGCAGTCCGAGAAAAAAAACATAGTTATTCTACCGTTATAACGGTAGTAATGTCACACGGGATTCCACGGTAGTAGAACCGTGGATTTTGATTCTTGCAACGATGAGCACGATGATATGACCGTGTTCACCGTAATATTATACCGTGGGCACAGACATACTGTTATGAGCATGGATATGCTACTGCGCTCATCAATAATATTACCAAAATCCACGGTTCCATTACCGTGGAATCCCGTGTGACATTATTACCGTGGTAACCGTCGAATTACCGTGTTTTTTTTTCTCCATTCGTAAAAATTTGTATCTCTGTAATTTACCTAGAGGTGTTCCGGTCAAAGTGAAATCGTGGTCCATGAACTGTCCCCAGGCGACGATCATGACCGTCCCCGCGTGGTCGTGGAAGCCATCGTCCGGGTGCATCGTCCTGGAGACGACTCGCGGTAGTGGCAAGGGATTTCCTTGCGTGCTCACTCGTGGTGACGTCATCCCGTCCTCGAACAGCGGCCCCACTAGCCTACAAAATTTTAAAAAAACCTTTATACAGGCGCGCATTTTGAATTTTGTGACGTCATCTGCGGGCTGCCTCTTGAAATTGATAGACATAGTGATACATGGTTGCGATAGGATTGCGCGAAGGCCCCCTTGTTTACGTTTTTGGAGATGCCTGTAAGACTTAAGGAACACTTCACGCATTGCGCCGAACAGTGCGGGCGGCGTCAAGCCCATATTAGCGCCTACAAGACTGAATGAATACTCCTCGCATTGCACCAATTGCACTGCAGTCGGTCGGTTGGCGTGGGACGCATATTAGCGCCCACAAGACTTCAGGAATGCTGGGACTATGGTTACCCCATCATTATCACCCTTAATCTGTACACCAACCCCCAGTTTCAACCAGTTTCGTCTTCTTCGTCTGTCGCTTTCGCTTTAGATTTCAATAATCAGCCCGCTGAGAGAAAATGCCTAGCAGCTTCGTTTCAAAAGCCTATTTGGAGTGAACTCGTTGTAAGATGCACAGCGTTAAATTGAAATACACTTAAAGAAGCCGTAGTGGCACACTGGAAAAGTTTACGTAATTTTTTTCTAATTTTTTTCTAATTTTTTTTTTTAAATGTGACCTGATGAATTTTACCTCGTGAAAGGTGTCATTGTTGCGCCCCATGTGGGATGTTTCAAATTATTGCACAGCCCATCATAGCGACGATATTTGCCCGGTCGACACTCAACATTCGACAGAAACGGTGGACACACATCCTTTATCAGCGTTTTGGAAGTGTCAATGAGGGGCAATCCCTTCTCCACCTCCTCGTAGGTAAGACCGTACCTGAAAAAAAAAAAAATCAAAAAATTTAAATTTTAAGATTAATTGTGAAAAAAGTGTGTAATAAAATCCCATTCGAATGAGTGGATTGAGAAAATGTTCGTTCCATTCAAAGTGGTAAATCCTTTTCTCCATGAGTCATTGTAATAGGACTCTGTCGTACAAAAAGTTATATCGATGGCCAAAGTGCAAAACCGCGCATCTCCGTTTGGGACTCTGCAGACATCTTGTCATACTTTATTTTTTCTTTGAAATATTAGTCGACGTAATTTCTTGAAAATTTCCTTGACTTTTCTTCTCTGCTGGCTAAATATCCCGTAAAAATTTCAAGCCATAAAGTTCGCTTGTTCCTCCTCGAAAAAATAGAAAATGAGGGCAAATTTTGGAACACTGTAATGAAGATACGTGGTTTCGCATTTTGGACATAGATTTAGTTACCCCATAAATCGCCTTTGTTGAATTCTTTAATACTATCTTATGGTAAAAAGGAGAGAAAAAGGAAGTAAAAGGAGCCCGATATAATTTTTTCTGCATTCCTTAAGATTTCTCCCGTATTGTAAGGTCAATGGAATCCGATTATGATAAAATGAATATCCGATTATGAATTAAATAATGCAAACTGTCGTGCTAACGAAAAAGGCCGTATGAACATTCAAATTTTGACAAATCTCGCGAAAAATTTTATTTTCGAGGAAAATTGCAGACATGTGTTCTTGAAACTTTCAAATGCTTTAGCTAATAAAACTCGCCGAAAAATCGGGAGAAAAGTATTGACAAGTTTACCTTAAAACATCGTTTTTTTATAAAACGAAATTTCGCAACAAACAAAGGCCCATACTGCGATTTTCCTTAGTGCGGCTGTATAAAACACACTGTGCTGTCGTGTCTATGAAGAGCGCCGTAAGAGCCCGCGGACACGGCAAAGTTTTCTTTGAAAACGTACAAATATTTGTCTTCCAGTTTTATTCGCAATTCAAGCAAATGCGTCTGAGAATTTAATAGAAGAATTTCATAGAATAACTATTTTTACGTCAAAAATAGATTTTTTATCAGGAGAAATTTTGCAATGAGCGGACGCTCATATGGCGTTTCTTCTTATCATAACAGGATGAGCCGTATATTTATCATGGAATTGAATGGAAACATGTCTATACTAGACTTTACCAGCAGGACATTTGGGGGAGGGAGAAATGTGGGTCAAATCGGGTGAAATGGACCTCGTTCCGTGATATGTAAACATTTCTGATAAAAAGTTCCCCAAAATCTGGAAAGCAACGTCTTATCATCCTTTATTACATTTTTATCCCTCATCTATGACAATCATTCTTACAACGATCTTACTCTGTCCAAAACAATAAGCCCTCGAAATTATAAGGTCACCTTAATTTTTTTTTAAATGAGATAATGAGATAAAATATTTTGAGACAAAGCTCCACAGATGTATAAGCAGCAGACTAGGGGAGGCTACACCGCCTCTAAGAGCTTCGAAGTCAAACCCCCCCCCCCCTTCAAGCGCTTCGCGCCTTAGAGGTTATGTATTACGCGTTACTCTTATGGCTTTACAGTATGGAGAATGATTTGTCAATGCAATCCATGCCAGCTGTCAGGAAAATCATAGTTACTTTTTTGTGAGCTGGATTGAGATGTCGAGAAGTAACTCGCCAACTGAAGCTACATCTGGCGCCTGCCAATGTACTTTTGGTTGGGAAACATCTAGAACAAACGAAAAAGAAAAGAAATTATCTTCACAATCAGGCCCGCCACATCCCATCTCGGGCCCTGGTACCAATTTTCTGGCCCGGGCCCCTAGCACAGGGGGGGGGGGGGGGGG